TTAGCTGAGATACGAAAATAATAGTAAATTATTAGGTACCTACCTAATTAATTTAGAACATCGTCTGTCGTGATTTTGTTATTGTTTTGTAAAATACTGATATTCCAAATAATAAATTAGTTTAAAAATGGTAAAACTTTATATATTTTGCAATAAATATTGATAGCTTGATTATAAATATAAAACTTTAAATTGATTCTCTTATTTGTATGATACTTTAATAAATATTAAATTGTATTAAATTTAAATTTAATAAATACAAAATATAACGGCCTATATCAAAGTTGCTAATACTAGTTTGTAACTGGTAACTTGTAAGGAACAAACATTTATTCGGTCCTTGACATATCTTCTATGATTTTCACTGTACAATATTGTGTGGAGGTATACATATACTAAACTTTATAGTTATAAAAATACTATTGCGTTTCCACGTTGGTTATGCCTCTCTCATTAACGAATACGTATATTTAATACGATGGATTATTTATTTCAAATTTAATATTACAACACATAACTTCCTGCATTGAGTTGAGCGATAGGATACGAGTATGTTCAATGCACAGTGTGTCGTTTTTAAAAAATTGCTTATTTTGTTTATTAAAACTTAATGTTATTACTTATATAAAAATAACTCTTGACCTTTGTAGACCTTTGCTAAACGTGCCGACGCAAATTCAGTTGGTTGATAATATTATTAATCTTAACGTTGATGGATATGTTTTGTTAGCTTTTTTGTTTTAATTTTTCGCTGATAAAGTTTAGATCTATTAACGTCATTATTCATTTGGTTTGTTATTTAAATATGTTAGTATGATAAGTTATTGTGACGTCCATGAAAATATTTTTGTAATAATTGCTCAACACTGTTGTTATTCAATAAAACTTTAAAATATAATTTTGAATAAGTATTGGTAGTATTTCACAATTATTACTGATTGTTTTTTTACGAAAAAGATGTGAAAAGTTGATAAAAAATGAAATGAATTGAACTAATTAACAATACATAATTACCATATTATTATTTTATCTATGAGAATTTTTTGTGGATGATGTTAAACAAAACAATTAAGTTTCTATTGATAATGTTTTATTATGTATACTCAACTTATACAGGGATTGTTTTTTTTATTAATTGTATAACAACTTATATACAGACAAATTGGATCTGGTGTTAGCTATTGCCCATTGGGCCACTTGTGTTACTTTGATCACCTTGGCCCAGAATAGCGTTGCATTAGTATATACTCTGAAAAGTAATGGTAAATCAACGATTCTTTATATTATGTCTTCAATATTTTTACAGTTGTAGTTTTAACTTTTAAATAAATGAACAATAATACATATTATAAATACATGTTTGAATGTTTGATTGTTAAAACTTGAATATTTTAAATTTAATTATTAATGTAACACCCACAATTTAATATTATATACACAAGGCTAACCTTAGATGTTGAAGCCACTTTGCTCTTTTCAATAATAATAAAAAAAAAAAAAATAATATCTAAACTTTAAAGTAGCTACTATTTATATGTGAAATTAACTCGCAAAACTTAAGACTTATCCACAGTTTCATTGATTCTACAATAAAAGAAACCATTGATGATATAATAATAAATTATCAACAATTATTATAATTTATAATATGTAACTGAGACTTGAAGATCATTCCTTAAGTAAATTAATAACGACAAATATGAAAATATTATGTACACAAAACTGAAATATCCAAGGAGGTGTTTAGTTCTTAGAGAAATAAATCATTTGGTGGGTTCATTGTGATGGATGTGTTTAATTTAAACTCAACGATATAAAATAATAGTATACATAAAACGATTACGAAGGAAGACAGTCTGTAAGTCTATATTAAAAAGTACAAAGTATATTTTATGATGTTATTGATATTAATGTGATTTACTTTACTAATAGTATTACTGTATGATAATTATAGTTTGAATTATTTTTTTCCAAAGAAGTGTATTTGAAAATGTTATTTGGCTCATAAATTCTAAAAATATACTTTTAAAATTGCATGTATCCACAAATTATGTTTTTAAATTACAACGAAATAACTAAAATTGTTATTTTAACAATTAAATTTCTAATTTTATCCAATTTTGAACTTAAAATATTTATTAAAAAAAAAGTGTTCGTATAATTTTTAGATTTGTTTGGTTACTGTATGAAATACTTATAAGTAACCTTGTCTTAAATTCTTAGCTAAAAAAATATATACATTTATATTAATTACAACATTTTATTTATATTCGACAAACCTTGTTTAAAAGTTTATCACATACCTATGGGAAATGGTTAAATAAACATTTGGTGAAAATTTAAAGTATCTTAGGTTATTAGATTTTTAGTTGCACCAGACTATTTTTCGTAAGAATCCCCAATGTCCTTTAAATTTTTATTTGGTTTTTCTTGACGTTTTGAAATCAACTAGCGATTGTTTATTTTTTATACCCCAAAGGCCAAAGTACTAACTAGATTCACTTTCCTACCAGAAAAGATGCTCATGTAAAAAAAATGAAGCATTTTTATTGTATCAAAAGGTGTAGTTAGGCGTAAAGAATAAAACACACATTATTGTAAAATAAATATATTCATCCATCGCTACTTTCTGAATTTAAAATATGAATAATAATGTTGTTGATATAGCAATTGATTATAGAATAATAGAATTATTCTATAATAAATGATATAACTAATTTGTGTAACGGCGATTTAGATATGCAATTCCAATACACGTGAAAGCAAAATTATGTCATCTTAATAATATGTAGGAATATTACATCGTGTTATACAACCGTCTTTTTGGGAATGAATACCTATGATTAATATTGTGTAAATAAGTACCGTTTATTTAGGTTGTGCAGTTAATTGCGTTATTTTTCAATCACCAATTTACATGTTGAGTGTGCACAGTGTATAGTCTTGTTTATAAGTATTAAGAAATGACGGTTTTCAAATAGCCCCAATTATCTCTGAGCAGCATAATTAAAATATATTTAGAACAACTTGCCAATATACTTACTAGTTAGAACGGTACATAATCATAGAATCAAATTTACTCTGATATTCTATATTATAGGCTCGATGTATCACAGGCTTACTACATTTAACCAAAATATAGTACTGTTAAACATTAAATTAACGAATAAATCACTTGCGGATACTTAAATTTTTATGTAAAATATCATAAAATATAATTAGTTAAGTTTGCACAATAGTTCAAGGTCTAGGGAATGAAATTGTCATATTCGACAAGTAACAATACCCATTATAAAACTCAATACAATTATATGCACCAGCAATATGTTAAATTTATGTTTACATTTATTAAACTTTCTAAAAATTAGATCATTCCAAGTCAAAAAATCAAATCAACTTTTCGACAACTTCACACAAAAAAATGGAGTATCAAAGGATCTGCACTATTTCTAGTGGCAATTAACAAAATTGACAAACACTGTAAGTTCCCAATAAAAGCCAACATATTTGTTGATGATGCCAACTTTTAATATAGAAGCAAAAACATAAATACAGTGCAAAATAACTTACAAAAGTCAATAAATTATTTAGAAAAATGGTCAGCAAAAACCGGTTGAAACCCTAACATAAGTATCACAAATGAAAAAAAACTAAATCGAGCCAGAATTGGTCACACAAAAATGACGCACAGATACTTGATGGCAAAAGACGACACACCAATATGCCAAGTATGTGGCACCTCACTATCTATCAAACACATATTCGAAGAATGTAGAAAATACCAAAAAAAAAAGAGAAGAATTAAACATAATCCACGACATTGGAGAAAGTCTAGAACCAAATCCAGAAAACGAAACGAAAACAATAAATTTCTTAAAAAAATCCCAAATATTAAAATTATTATAAGTTAACAACATCAGTATTGCCACGTACCTATTTATAAGACACTAATTGTTTATAAAACTATATATTTATTTAATATAATTAATTAATTTGTTTTTTTTTCATTGTATATAAATTAATTTAACGCTAATGGCCTTAGTAGTCGAATGGGAAATTTTTAATTTTATGACCAATAAAAAAAAAAAATATCCATTAGTGGTGCCGATGTTGGACTGTATAGATATTTTTTAATCGATTCACTAATTGTCAAACAAAAATAATAAACTATTTTTTTAAGTGTTTATAAACAATTAAGTAACACTTTTGGCCAACGAGCCGTGTTAGATCTAGCATAGGCTACACTATACGCTTACATAATTTATGCACAATATTTTGAATATTATCTTAGTTTTATTTTGATTAGACTATAATCGAAAGGCTTCAACAATTAACTAATCGTCCTCGGTTAAGTAAAAGAGTGACTAGCAAACGTGTAATGAAAAACTAATTATTAGCAAGTATATACACTATATTTAGTGACGTGTCCAATATAACATAGGTACAGTATTGACTTTTAGCAACATGTAGCCAACAAACATATTACTATAATACGCTGTATCTATAATATTTTTCTGTTATTTAATAAAATATTAAATAAGCATGCGGATGTAGGTATAGTGTTTTCGGTCAATTATCGGTTACAATTTTCACAGCGATAATTAGACTAAAATATAGTTATAGTTAAAGTAGTCAAAAAAGGTTAGTTGAAAGCACCAACCTATATAAAAAGATATGAACGCGATACATAATAATTATTATAATTATACGAGGGATATGAATATATCTACATTTTCATTACAGTATACAGTATCAACTATCAAAATATTTCTATTAGTCATTTATGGCTCATGCAATGTTGGAATATAATAGTAATGCATTGTATAAACATATTTTTTTGTTCAAATGAAGACAATATTTGCTAAAATTGAATGTAATTATGTTGAACCGTTCATAGGTATTTAATTTTAAATATGAATAGAGAATTTCAAACATTTGTAGGAATAATTTATTCACAAACACTATAATTCTATATAGACATATAGGTAATGGGATTTAATAGTAGATATATATTTTTGTGAAACTACTGACGTTAGTCAACTTATTCTTTAATTCTTTTATTTAGGTTTGTTGAAATTATTTACAAAATGTTTACGATATACTTTTGCTTAGTTAGTGTTATTTTAGCCCCATTGGTGTCCTCGAAGTAAGTAATAATATTATTATTTTCGTAATATATAAGAGATTAAGTTATTTTAATTTTTAGAATTTCTCTAATATCTCTTGGAGGAAAAACATATTTGAATGGTCAATTTGAAGTCAAAGCACCTGATAATGGCAGTATAAAAGATGGTATTTATATGTTATAATTTGAATTACTTAAATTATACTTGAATAACTGAGGATAGCCTTATAGGATTGACTCAATTAAAATAAAATACGTGAATGTATTATATATTATATATATGAAGTAGACATATATATCAAGCACGTATAACAGTATACTCTATACATGTTAAATATATACCTATATTAAAATTACTGTTTTAAATACTATTAATTATATATTTCAATATTTGCATACATTTAATTATTTTATGGATACAATTTTTAAATACTTATGATGGTTGTATACAATCATTACAAAAAAATGAAAAAAATAACAATTTTAAGATTATAGTTGGAAATGTTTTTTTATTTGATACAATATTGTATGGTAAGCAATAAGCATATACAGATGGATTACAAATATTGCACTTTGCTCACTTCTGCACTGGATGTCTATGTTGTATTATATTAAAAATTAATAGATTTTCAATGAAGAATAAATAATCGTATTTGAAGACTATATTTAAAATAAGTATAATATCCAAACAACCACAATACTAAAATGCCTATCTACTAATAATGCGTATTATAATAATTATTATTATGTAGCTGTAGTAGTAATAACTAATAATAGCGTGTTTTAACTAGGTAAGTATATTTACTAAAAACATAATTTCAAATTCTTTATGTTTTTATAATAGTGACCATTTATAATTTCTATGTAATGAAATACATAATATTTGTTTGATAATTTGTGTTTATTATTTGAATTTTTATAATGATAATTATATTAGGCGCTTTAACCATGATGATTTAATAAATTCAATGATTTATATATTAGTTTTGGTGAGTAGCCATAATACAATAATCCATAACTCGTATAATAGTACAGTATATATAAACATATATACCTATTACCTATATATGTATCATCAATATGATCATGATCTGTAAAATAATTTATGCTCAAGTTTTTAGTATTTTTAAATATTAGATTGACACTAGTCAATGGTAAATTAAAATATTATTATTTTTTTTTTAAATAATGTATTAAGGCTTCTATGATAAAGAATTTTAGTCTGTAATAACTATACTCTGTCCAGCGAGAGAACGCGCCGGTTTTGCTCATTTCTCCGCGTCATCACGCCAATAAAACCGGTTCACCTATGGTAGGGTGACACGTAGGGGGACCAGATTTGGTCGGTGCGCGGCGCATTCTCTCGCTGGACAGAGTATAGGTATTAAAGAAGGTTATTAATTAAATATAAACTAATAGAGTATAATGAGTAGGTATATACGAATATTGACATATTTAGGGAATTATAGTTTTTACTTTTTGGCTTAAGTTGTTAGTTCGGAAAAAAGTGATGATTGCGGTTCTAGTTCTCTTCATGCTTGGTGAAAGAAAGTTGTTGAAAATCTTACAGGCTTCAGTGTATCTATTGTTAGTGTCTCATTTCATGTATTACATATTGGTGCTAGTTCTTATGTGATGAGAAGAGGGTGGGTTAGATGCGAATGGCCTATTTTGGCTCGGGTAATGATTACTTCCTCTCATCTCTTGATGCTAGGAGGATACTTAAGTTTCTTAACATACAGTTTTACATTTCTAAGTTTGTTAGGGAGGGTTAGGTTTGACTAGAATTTCTGCCATTCATCCATTATTTTGTGATGTATGATGTTGAAGGTTTTGGATGAGGTTCGAAGATTAATTTTTGTTAAGAGAGAAGACGTGGTGGCTGCGTAAGCCAACTTGTTTGCTTTCTTATTTCCGGCTATTTCAGCATGAAGGGTAACCCACATAAGTCATGTAGTGCTTAACATAATATTGTTATTTAATTAAATATTTAAATTTAATTTTTATATTTATAGGAATTGTGAATGGTCATACCAAAGGTTTGAAATTAATCATTGAAAAAATATTGACGCTTCAAGAAAGATTAGCTCTTTTAGAGCGATTAAAAAAATCAAATGACAAATCGACCCAAATGGAGAAGGAAAGAATGAAAATATTAGAGGATCGTGAAGATGAATTGGAGAGATTGGTAAAAGGTGAAGAAGAACAACGACTGAACAATTTAATAAATGAAAATAAAGTCCCACAAGAAGCTATAAGTCGTAAGAAGTTTATTGTTAAAGAAATTCCAGAACAGAAAAAAAAATAACAGAGGTTGGTGGTGTGGAAGGTGACTCACAAATGATGCAGTACAATTATGTAACAGAATGATGAAAATATCCAACATGACAGTTATTAATAAATTAAATAATAATTATCAATAAATTTAGGCCCGTAACTAATGACTCATAATTTAAAAATGTCGATATGCCATAATACATAAACTTTATCAGATAGTAGAATACCAATTATTATTATAATTTGTATTATTAAACTATTATTAATGAAATTCGTAACAGCTAAGCTTTACTCTTCAGTATTTTTAAATTACAATTTCAAAATAATAAACTATTTTGTATACACATAGACATTTGGGTCGGTATGTTTTATGTGTGTAAAAATATAAAATAATTTCTTATTACAAATAATTGCAATAGTTGTAGTGTATTCTAATTAGGGCCGTTCCAAGGGGGTGGTATGGATGACCAGGCACTAGGCCCAGCGCATTACCTTACCAAAATTACCCAAAACAAAACGAAAAATAATTTCATTCTTCAGCAACAATATTCAAAAAATTGTGACCGTTCTATAATTTGCTCTAAGCTCAATTTAAGTCTCGAACGTCATGTGATCGGTCGTTGTGTCTGACTAGGTCGTCAACTAAGAACCGAGACCCAAAAGGCTGGAGTTTGTTCTCGTTTCAAAACACGTAATATGGGAATGAAATCATACATGTAATAATAATAGTAAATAAAACTCATGACACCATGTATTATGAGAAAAGGATAATTATTATATTTTAAAATTGATTTCCCGCTGAGAAAGCTGAACGGAATTAAACTCGACCTAAATAATAATAGGTAAAATCAGTGTATCCCATCGACAATAGTCAATGAGAGTAAATAATGGTAATAATAATAATTATACAACAAAACCTCTCGAGGGGGCCCGGGCTCTCGTAGACATAGAGGTATATATTACATAATAAATAATGAAAATAAGGATTTACTTGCCAGCCTGATTTACATATTCCACAAATGAAAAAAAAACACACCCATCATCTGATGTTTTTCTGTCTACCGATGGTAAACCGCCGTGGCAGCTACTCAGTGGATCTCACTCCATGTTAGTAGGCTTACAAAATATAAAATAAAGTGAGTGAGACAATTTGTAATAGGTCGCTACAGACGTCCGTCCAGTCGGAGAAAAGGGAAAATAAGAACGAAGTATGCCCTGTGTAGAATATAGTAATTAGTAGGTATTGGCGATAGAAACAGCTGTAACGAGGACTCTGTGTATAATGTATATGCTATTTTTCTACTACCCCCATTACACACCACTCCCCACTGCCTAAAAATTGATAATATTTCTACCGCCAATTCAGACAGCGGTTATCATCACGGCCAATTACTTCCTCACGGATTACGGCCAGCGGTGGAGGAGCCAGTGATATACGCGAGTGACAAACGTATTGTGTGTGTATACAATGTTATATAATATATGCAGTGGTCGGTCTGGTGTCTGATACGAATAATTGGAGGAAAAACAGAATTTGCATTATGCGTCACAAAATGTATTAATATATTAACTGTGTGGCAGTTACAACTGATGTCATTTTTTCAGTTCACCATCCTAATGGTATTGATATTTGATACCTTTATACATCCACATTGACTACAACTTTAATTTAACTTTAAATTATAACATGGGATTAATTTGAGGGGACAGACAGGGACTTTTTCCCTAACCTACTCGTAGATTTTCACGAGGTGGTTAAATTTTTGGATCAATTTTAGAAAGGCTAGGATGATGGCCCAGTGTTTATAATCGTAAATCGTTGTCATTTTTAATATATTGAAGGAATATAACACATAGCAAGAGTAACAAAAAGTAAGTAATTGTAAAGTAAAATTAAAAACCATGTAGTTATCCTTTCTTTATTTTGATGAGTATGTAAAATATCAGAATACAAATATGTTCCCAAATATTGCAGACAAATTGGAACATCTTAAAAAAAGCCAACGTGCAAACTCAGTAATGCTAATAAGTATTTGATTGAGTTTGATAATAGATAATTTCACTCAAATAATATTAATGCTCACAAGATAACACGGAAACGTTTCTGGGGGAAAAAAAACGCATCGTGTTTAGGTTGGAGGGGATTGTTTTCAAAATTGTATTTAACTTGTTCAAAATTGTACAAAAAAGTACATAATACTGTCAAGGTTTGGTATTAAAATTCAAAAGTGGCAGGGCAGTTTTGTTTGAGTCACAAGCGAATTTCCACTTCATAACCAATACTATTTAGTCACTTTTTTCTACTCTGTCCGGGACTGAGTGGTCTATTTCGTATATTATTAGGTGTAGGTACGTCGTTTCCTTTTTTTCGTCTTACGTTAAGCAATTTCGATACGTTGTTTATGTCGTCGTTTCTTGATATTCACCCCGTTTAATTGTCGGTCAGTATTGAGTTTTACTTCTTCTATTTTGAGTTGTTCTTGTTCTTTTTCTATGTGTTAAATATCATGATTTTGCTGTTTCTATCCATTTAAATATTTCATGCTGTACCGTTCCTTCTCCATTTCAGCCTCACATGGTATTCGTTCTTTTTCTCCTTCTTCATCTTGCTCTTTCAATTCCTTCTCCCTCTATATATCTTATATTTTAGTTTTATTCTATACTATAAACTTTTCTTTAAAAGTTAATAGTCTATAGCTTTGCAATCATACAATTTTATTTCTATCTATGTAAAATAAATAAAATAACATTATAAAAACATACTAAAAAATAGGATGTAACATTCATAATTCGTAAATAAACCTGCATTTATAATTATGTATCAAAAGTTATACGTTTATCGTACACAGTTAGAGTAGTTAGGGGTGTTTTGGTTGTTTGCTCCCTTTGGCTTAAATTCAGATCATAATTTTGGAGGGAATTTTGCTTCAGGAAGAACATAATTTTTTAATAAAAATGCAGTAAATTTGAGTAATAGTTCATCATCTGGCTGAATACTTATCAAATAATCTGTAAAACAGTTTTAAACTTCGTTAAGTGGTATGAATGGAAGTCCAAAAAATTTTTTAGGGAATTACCTATTTCTTCTTTTTTTTTTATAATCATCACTTAAACTTAATAACAGATTCTGAATCATTCAACTAATCAACTTTGGCTTGGATGAAATCTATAACTTTAATATTTATTTGTGGCCGAACTGTTAGTAGAGCTGCGTGAATTGCTAGGTACTTAAAAATCAACATAAGCGATTTCAGGTATAAAATTTAAATTTCGTTTATTGAATTCATTGAGAATATGCGTAAAAGTTTATGAATAACACTCAATATTCTTAGAAGGTAGCAGAAAAAATACAATAGGAATATAGTGGTGGTTGTGAGTAATATAAACAGTGAACATTTGTGTAAACATTTTACAACAACTTTTAAATGTACCATCAACATAAATTATATTAGATTTACATAGAAATTTTAAAATTTCAGTTGTTGAAAATAAAATTATGTTATTTACACTGTCATTAATTAATAAAAAGTCTTTACAATTTGTTTTTATTTTTAAAAAATTAATGTTTTATGAAAATGGCTTAAGAATTTAGGAATATTCGGTTGAATACTTTTTTAGCTTGGTGCATATTTTTTAAATTAAAGTACAATCGTTATGTGTTTCTATATGAACTTCTATATTATTTTTAAATTCATTATGCGACAACTTAGATGATCTTTTACAACGGTTTTCTTGTGATTTTATTTTTAAAGAGTTACTCACAGTCTGCCTGGTTAAAACGTTTACTTCGTTAGATTCATGTTCGTGCGCCATGTCTTTTTCAATAATTATTTCATTTTCACTTTTATAAAATGATTCACATGTTCCATGCTACTATTTCATACTTGAAATAATTCATCTAAACTTTTAAAACTGCAATAAATACTGTGTAAAGCCTCCCGCATGATGTAATTTTGAAAATTAAAATTTCGCCAAGAAAAAGTTTATAAGTATAATGGAACGCGAACCTATTGGGTTTGAAAACACGTCCCACCTTAGAAGGCTACCATTTTGAGTATTGTTGTGAAATAAACAATACAATTAATCTTCGATAGTGCTTGTTATCTTAAAAAGTGAAGATACCTCGATCGGTTAAAAGATTAACTGAGGATATCACTGACATATCATCATAGGCTGTACTCTAATGAGAAGGGGGTCATGGCATTTTGTTCTACATATATATGTTACGTATTATTCTATACAGTTTATTCTATCATCTTGTGCTCATGTGAGGTGTACGATGTACTTGCTTTGGTCAGCTGCCTCACACGTGGATGCTGGAACTACTACCACGTTCCGTCTATCAGTATAGCTATGCATATCACTGATTTTTAATGTGCCCATAAATGAATCAAGCCGCAATCAAATATACTTAACGTAACAATTGCAACGTCATTCCTTATGACTCCTTATAACATACACCTATATAACTATAAGTGATACCAGCAAATAAATCACGTAGGTTGTTTTGTATTTTGATGCTATGAGACTGTTGTTGTTTGTTATTTATTCGTAACGAAATTTAGGTAATATAAAAATTAAACATAAGATATGAAGTAAAACAAATAATTTTGAATATTGTAATGTGTAGATAATTTACAGTTTTATACCAAATATATAAGCGTAATAACATCGTATAATGTAAAATAATAATTATAGTGTACATGTGTAATACTAAATGCTAATTATTTTAAATGGTTATTCATTATGAAGATTATGTTATGATTGATTATAGATTACAGTATTTTATTAATAACTTATGAAATGGCCGACATACCGCAGTTATAACAATTTAACTGAACTACATCATGATCATTGATCAAACTAAAATAGAAATAAATGATCTTAAAAGCCCATACCTATAGTTGTTGTATTTTTTTTTGGGGGTAACTTTTTTGTACTCGCTACCCGACTGGGTTTTTTATTTTGTATATTTTTAGACGTACGCTGTTTCTGACTTATTCTTCCTTCCGTTTCACGCGGTACTCTTTTCGCTTCACGTTGAGCTGCATTTGCTTCACGTTCTGCTCTTTCGGCATTAAGTCTTTTCTGATTATTTTTTTTTGTCTCTTCCTCAAGCTGTCTTCGCTTGTTCTCCTTTTCTTTTTCCTGCTCTTCCCGCTCCTTTTTTCTCCGTTCAGCAATATTTTTCTTTCTCTCCTGTATTTTTAGTATTTCATCAACTGTCAATCTCCTATAGCTTTTCAATCCTGGGAAATTAGCTCCATCTATCTCTGAAATAATTAACCATTCAATAAACATGCTTGAAATATAAAATATAGCACACAAAATTCTTGTTTGAGTGTTAAAATACTACACATATTTAATTCGTTTATATATATGATTTCGCATATACTAATACGGAATGTGAGAATTATTAATAGGTACCAATATTGCAATCCATTAATCGTTAAGCATCTTAAATAGTTTGATGAATTCAATTTAATAAATGTATGCAATTGTAAAAAAAAATTGTTGAGTATAGTTACATGACTATGATTATAGTTTTAAACAAACTCTACACATATACTGCATGAGTCTAGATTTAAAGTTTTGGAGAGACCCTCTCTTGGAAAAATGAACGTTATTAAAATACATTATATTCTATAAAGCATATAGATTATAATATTTATTATGATAAAAAAAGGTGAATAAAAATTAAAAAAATTATTATAATTTTGTTGTCTTTGTTCTTTCTGTAGGTACTTATATGTATACTATGATGAAGAGGGACAAATGGACTTAGCCATTTGGACGTGAGGACAATTGGGCGTAAAAAAAATATATACAAATTAAAAAATAATATTATCATTATAAAAGATCATCATCAAAATATATTAAATACACGGTTATTTACTTATTTGTATCATCTAACAAAAAGCTTTCATAAAAAAATGAACGAAATGGGTATATAATTGTTCTTCAAGGTATACAAATGATGTTGATTTTTCATTATTTATAAGAATTCTAGCCCTTTCATTTGTTCCAATCGAAGACCTAGATACAACAATTAAGAGATGATTTACCAGAATGTTTACAACCTTTACTAGACTGGTTTGAGGACAATTATGTTAGGAGGGTTTATAGAAACAGAAGAGATCGTCGGACATCATTCCCACTACATATTTGAAATTTACACCTACGAGTTTTGAATGGTCACGATAGGACTAACAACTACGCTGAAGCAGCTAATAGACGACTAAATGTTAAAATGGGAGTTCATGTTGCAACATACTAGTTTGTGGTCCTTCATCGACTGTTTACGAAAAGTACAAGCTGGGTGAGATATATCTTACTGCCAACTTGAAGCAGGTAAGCGGATAAACGTATTTTAAGAATTGTTCAAAGTTATGAAACTAAAACTAAAATATCATTTTTACGCTGAATCGCTCAAAATATTTCTCTAGGTATACCTATAATTGTCATAAAAAATTGTTTAGATACATTTTTAATTTTAATATTTTATATAATAAATAATTTGTATATTTAAATATTTTGTATTCGTTTTCGTTTGACAAATAAATATGATAATAAATATAAATAATTTATTAATTTTATTTACTGATTTATAATTTTGATTGTATTTTTTTGACGTCTAATTGTCCCCAAGTCCAAGCGGCCACGTTCATTTGTTCTAGATCAATACTATAATGGTTCATTTTCTGGTAACATCATCCATTAGCTAATATCCATCAAGTAATATTAATAATTTAATAAGTGATGGTAGAAAGTACATTCTACTTTATAAGAGGTAAACCAGTGGCTTCAGGGGGGGGGGGGGAGAAAGCCCTTTTCCAAGTCAGCATTTCTAAAATATTGAATATCGTTAAAAACAAAATAACAAAAAAAACATATAATAAATTATAATATCGAAAGTTTTTTGAATATAATATTTCTATATACCTAGTAATTATTACTAATTCCACCCCAACCATATCTCTGGAGCCGTTCCTGAGGTAAACTATTCATCTATAAACACGATTTGAGTTGTGTTCCATATGCTTTCTTCTAAGGAACTACAATTGCATTTTACGACTATTATATTGTACCAATGTAAGTTATAACTTCTGTTGTAGATAATAATACATTGTACTATGCACAAAATATATTAGAAAATGAGGATAAATGTATACATACCTTGTGTAATGAAACAATTTACTTTTTTAAATTGTAAATTTTATATTTTTATAATTTGTAGTTTTTAAATTTTTAAATTTAATAGAATAAAAAAACCTGCCATGGACATTCAACTTTGAACAATTTTATTTAATTAGGAAAAAATTATAATGTGTGTGGAATGGTTGAAAATGGAAAGCACCTGGAGTGGTCGGCAATTCGAGCAAAACTGAATTGCCATATGACTTTTTGGTCACACTTCTGCCACCACAGAAATTAGCTCCATCAATATTATAATAATCCAAAATGAGCTGCTCTTTCTGCTGTCGGTATCTATATTTACTTAACTATTTCACAGAACAATATTTGAATAACTCATCTTCCATCTAAAACTTGAAATATCAGACGAAACATGTGGATAAGCCAATGTACCTTAATATAATATAGACTGTTAGGTGATTTTCTGGCTGTTGTGTGAAAAAAAAAAACAATTTATTTTATTTTATTATTTTAAACGCTTCAACTGACATCGAAATTTAAACTTTCAGTAAATGCGTGACAATAATATTATATATTTTATTAAGTCACAGAATAATAACTGAGTTTATTCACTTCAATAATATATTATTTTAGGATTTGTTTAATATACAATGTTTTATTGAAATTTATATTTACTTAAAGTTTTGTTTCCTCCATAAACTATTTCATATTTTGAATTTATGAATGTTCGTCCATTGTCATATGACATTGAGAATGAACTGAAATTAAATTGTATCAAATAACATGCAATTTAACGACGATTTATAACTTACGAGGTTAATGCCGCAAAAATAAGCACCGAAAACAGAGACGTGTAAAGTGGATTTATAGTATAAAGCTTCATGTTCACCGGTTTAAAAATTCTCTGCAGTTTTACCGTTTAATGTTCGGCAACACAATTTGTTTCACTATGCAATGATTGTTGACAACTGCTTTTATATAATGATATGTATGACATGTGTGATAAAATTCTAAATATAGTGTAGATAACCTAGTATTGTTCATATCCAATTTGAATATGTATATATAGTTTGAATATTTAAAAATACCAAAAGCTTGAACCTACGTTAGTCATTAAGTGTTTGGTAAATTCTATGAAATTCTAAAATCGAACATAATACACTAACTATTTATAACTAGTCATTATGATAATAAAGTAATTATATTGCGCATCTTGTGATACAATATGTTAATGAATATTTCTCATCTAGTATTATATTAAAATTGTAAAGCATTTTTGTTCTATTTGCTTTTCTATAGATTTTAAACTGACGTACACCTAATTTATAGGTGCAAATTTGAGTTATAGTTATTTGTTTAACAATATTTTACAGGTTATTGATCACATGCAACATATTATGATCATTTTTTTTGCATGAAATATTCTATATAATGTGGTAAATATTATTTACATAGGTAATTTATATGGCTATATAATTTACTTATTGTAAATTTTATATTTTTATTGTTTTTTCTATATATTATACAAAGTCAACATAATAAATAAACTATCTAATTTACAATTTGGTAGTAAAGGATATTATACTTAACGAGTTTGTGCGTCTTGAGTGTTAATTTAAACTAGGTTAATACATAAACAATAAACATAGTAAAGTTTTTCTTTGGAAAATAGTGTGAAATTTAATTTTTATATATTTTGTTCTATGGCTAATTTGTTGGCGAGATTAGTAATCAAGTAATAAATAGTAGCCACTAGTTGTTATTAATGATAATAAGTGATATTAGTAGACTTTTTGGCAATACCGACGATTGCCCCGTTATAATTCTCCCCCTTTTTAAACATTACTTCGAATCGTTTTTCTTCTGTTATTTTTGACTCTGCCACTATTTCTTGGACGGGGTTCATAATTAATAATTACTAATTATATTACGGTGTTGGGCAGAATCTCTAATTTCCTTGTTTTTCATCGTCAAATTTGTAGAACAACCCGGTAGCCGGTAAATTGCCCAGTGAGTTGGTTTACCCGATAGTTGCTTCCGGTGTGTGGGTGTGTGTTGTGTTGCGGTACCTATAGTGCTAACTGTAATGGTGGTTATTTGTATATGCTTGCTGTGTTCTGATAAAAGTTGTTTTAATATGTGCTAGTATATGCTGTACATCAATAAAAGGCTACTTAAGGCCTTAGATAATAATCTAACCTTTACATTTTATAATAGGTCAATACACTCTAATATCAAAACTAACATCAGTAACATCACACTATGGAATTTGTCGAAAATGTGCTACCTATGTCGTTCGTGTGTAGGGCGGAGACAAGTAGACAAGAGATGCAGGTACGACCTCAACGTCGTCTCAAGAGCCTTTTTGGTAATACTAAGGATGGCCCCGTTACAAGCTGTGTAATTATAAATTATTAAATTTTAGTAGGTGTGTCATTGTATCATATACTTGATTCAAAATTGTTCATTGTATGTAGTTCCAATAATATATTTACTAACACATAGAATATATTGGAATGCAATATAAACACGGAGCAAAATGACATCAATAATGATATGAGTTACTTCATTACTTTTTAATTACAATGGTGGAATTATAATTTTAAACATTGTCATAGGACCTAGATGATATTAAATATTTTATATTTATTTTGCCATGGTTCCTATTATTGAAAAAATAATACTCGAACTGTTGACACAAATGAGGGGTTTAATTGTCAATGCAGAGTGTATATCAGACAAATGCAAATTAAAACAATAATAAGTGGATATGTGATTCTCGTTAGAAAAACTAAATAATAAAATCAGTGATGTACCACCCTTATTATTCCTCTATATTATGTTAATTATTGTCATAAGCTAAGATATTATTGTATACATATTTTCCTACTTGCACGCTTTATTGTATTGTTATAGTTATGTAGATCGTGCCCCGATTTTATGCTCTTGTTGATGTTCATAAAATGTATACCTAATGACTAATGTTGTAAATTTCGGAAGTTTTTGTGTCATTGATGAAAATGTGAACCTGGGACCATTTGATTTATCAATACGCGATTGATGTGAATGTTATACTAATATATTATTATGGTAGTTGAAAATGAAAGAAAACGTTAAAAATACCAATAGGTAGGTATATATAATATACCTTTGTATACCTTGATGTCATTCGGTAAACTCAAAGTAAAAATTAACTAAAATTGTAGACATTTTATATATAGGATATCGCCGTGGTGATGATATTTGTCTAGACTTTAGTTCCTATATATTTATGATTCTATTTATGTAACAATGTATGGAAATCATACAAAGTAGACTTGACCGATAAATGTGTGTACATGTATATTTATATTTTAAGTCATAGACTATTATTTGTCGTATTATTAAAATAGGTATTAATGTGATAGCGTTATTTTCTTATACTACGAGTACAATATCACACGCTGACGTTTTGGTACATGCGATATTGTTCAACTGTGGGAACAATGATAAATAATTAAGACTAATTATCTTACTCTCGAACCTTTGAATCTTTTGTATTGACATAACTGAAAGCCTTATTAGCTTAAAGTTATCTTTATTGAATAATTATTATATGAATTAAAAATTTAAAAAATGAATTCAAACAAAATTGTTGAGTGTTTTTTTTTTATCACAATGACAGAAATCGATTTTATTATAATATTTATGTGTGTACATAATATTAATTTAGTTGTGACTCAGATTATGGAACACCTGCAGATGGCTGCAATACTTGATCTTTAAACTGCGATCTAATGTTTCCGTGAGGGTCATAATTACATACAACGTATAATTTACCGGATTTAGAACTTTTCGATGCACCAACGCCAAGCTCACTACTGTCCTTCCAAATAACTTGAGTAAAATGAACTGAAAAAAAAAATGATTAAATAAATTACATTCCATCAAATGTTAGCTAAAAGTAAGTAACAAAATAATAATTTATTTTTTATACGTGTATATTATACTTTTGAATTTCAGTTGTAAATTATAGGTATTAATAATATAAAATATTTAAATTTACTAATCAATTTGTTGCTAACATTGTTTTTTTTTTTAGTCTGTACTTATTTAAATCTATTAACAATTAATCTATGTACAAAATATATTAATGAAAAAAAAACCTAATAATGTCGGTGATATAATGATCGCAATAATAGTCAAACTAAATGAATGCATATATTTTAAGCCAATTAAGTGCACCATTAAAATTAAAATAATTCAAATGTATTCAAAAACACTACAAATTCACTGATATAAACGTTTAAAAAGAAAATTTCTAAGTATCTCAAAAGAAAAGGTATTTAAAAAAGGCAATTGTTAAAAATTATTTGAAAATTACAAGCTTTTGTAGAAGCAGCCATGTCATCGTTTGATCCTTGAAAATCAAAATATTTGATTTCATTATACCAGCTGTTTACTGCTTTAATGCCCAATTCGGTCACTTGTTCTGTTGATTTTATGGTGTAAATATTCTCACCATATGCATTATTCGGGCGATGTGATGCTACGTCTCTTTTAGCCAGTTCATTAGCCCAATTTTGACTTAGGTCGTTCAACTGAAAAACAAATTAAGAAATTAAATATTTATATAAAAAAGGGAAAATTGAATATTAAATGAACATTTAAAGTGAAATTATTCATTATTAGATAGTTTAAGAAGTTACTAATTAATATAATAATTAATATTTTATTATAGAATATTAATACCTGTGTAACTTAAATAACTGTAACGATGAAGTTCCAAAAATGTTTTTGCACACATGTATTAGATACAATTTTATAAAATTATGTTATGTCAAAACCTTAAATAAAATATAAAGCTGTTTTTCATTTATGATGAAATTTGTTCATGGTGTTATAAATATTTACCAAGTTATGTTAGGTTAGGTATTAACTACTCTACAAATCTAAAATGATACTGATTATACTTGAAAATATATGTAAATGTTAAATTTGCTGTCACAAATTCTTTAATATTTCCTTTAAAGCAATTTAAAAATGAGTTGTATACCACGTAATCTTAACGATGACATGCAAAAAAAAAAAAATAAATACAAAATTCACATTTATAGAACCAAACATTGTAATTCCATATATATGACACATTTTTATTGTTTAAGATAGTCAAAAAAATATTTCAAGTATTGTACATGTTACTATGTAAGTAAGCGACCCACTTACTAAAATTTAATAATTTATCGTTACAAACCTTTGAATTGATTTTTAAAGGAGGCACGTTATGTTTTTTTCTGTAGAAGTTATGCCTTTCTAAGGCATCTGCTATAACATTTTTGGTCTCACCTTCGTCTTTCTGTATGTATGATTTTAAAAAATATGTAAATTTAATTAAATATTTAAAGTCTTAGGTATTTACACTTACCGCCATATTAAATATATCGTGAATGTTAATGAGCTTATTTTATAACCACTGACTACATAATATTAGTTACTAACTAGTAAATAGTAAATACAATTACCAAATAAGTTTTCAAGCCAAGTAAAAAAAATGTTTGATAGTTACAAACACTTAGGAGGAACTTTTAAAAATGATTTGACTTTTATAGGTAATATCAAATGAACTAAACAACATTAACCCGTGTGCTTTTATTTTATTTTATTCAGCCTTGTATTATCTAACTATTTTATAATAGGTTTACTCATATTCACGTACCTTATATTATTTATCATACTTTAAGTGATTTGCACTATAAACTTTTATTGTAGTCAATAATAATATTTGTTAACTGCCACAAATTAAATTTATGGAGTGTTTATAATTTTAAAGAAAGGAAATAGTATATTAAGTCATTAAGATATATAAAACTAGATAACCTCTCAATATCTGAACCATAATATGACTCATATTTTTCAACTTATATATGAATATTTGTCATTGTTTAAGTGCAAATAAATTATATTATTGTTGAAATAAATAGTTGCACCGGATAAGGTCAATAAAATGAGAAGTTTCGGTTAACAAATCATTAAATAGTAGAGCTATACAAAATTTTAATTTGCTATATATATGTACCAATCTCTATTTAGAACTGTATTTTAATTTTCGAATCTATGACTAGTTTTATGAGCAAACAATAATAATTATACAATATCCTAATTAAGTTATACGTCATATTGTTGTAACTAGAGTTGTTTATTCTGCTCAGTGGTCGAGGGGGGGGGGGGGGTATACGGTTTGATGGCATCCCTCCACTTATTTTGAGCCACTTCAACCACTAGTTATGCTGAGTAACAAGAAAAAAATCATCGATTTAAAAACTATTTTTATTCAAATATTCAATAACGATCAATAACTTTATGACACCTTTATGTATTTAAATATCTAAAAATATTTGTTTAGTATTATTAAGTATTAATTATAATATATTGAGCTTTATTTTTTTGATCAGTTGTTCTGATTGTTAAATCAAGTTATCGAATTATTTTAATAAGCAATGTTAAATATTATTAGCTATTAAGTAAGTTTTCATCGAATTATAACACTTAATTTCTTTTTTATATACATTGCAACTCAATAAATCAAAAATATCTTACCTTGGCCAGCGTTACTTCATTATAATCGGTTGATCAAAGTTCACTAAACGAACGTGCCTGAGGTTGGCTGTTAGATAATAATGACATCAATTAAAATAATTTATTGCATGAACTTAAATAATTTTTATTTTATTTTAATATTATTATGGTTATGGTTATTGATATTTGTTATTATTATTATATTTAACTCTATTTTTCATAAGTGTAATATAATAATTATTAAAATAATTACATGTAGTAAAATAGTTTATACTTATTTAAAAAAATTCAAAATTTGATTTTAATTTGAGTTTAACACATCTACGACGATTAACTTTACTCTACATTTGACCATGGAGAAACCCTTGAATATTATAATGATTAAAATTGATAGTTTCCAGATATTTCGTTATTGTGTTCCAACGATTTCAGAAGTCGTGAACTGTAACAAATGTACGGAGTATACTGAATAAATTATTGATTAAAAAACAATGTTTTTTTATGTACACAAACTATATTCAGCTAGACAATTATATAACCAACAAAACTTAACACTATTTTATCATGATAGATGGACAAAAAAGGGAGAGGACTTATGTCATTAGTGAAATAGACTGGACGATATTGGCCACAGGCCAGCTGTTGATGACGTTTGACAACAACGGACGGCGAGCGGCCTGTGCGATATCATGTACTGAATGAGCAGCGGCGGCGATGGAGACTACACAAGTCACACAGACTGTAAGTGCAACGGCTGGAATAGTAGAGGCCTTCAGGATTTCGAAAACCACCTCACTGGATCATCCAATACGTACATTTTCACCCCGGTAGCTCTCTCTCCGGTAGAGTAAGAGTGGCTAGCCTCCGAAACCACATACCACTGCTTCTGGAAACAGAGTGATTGCTTAGAAAACGCTCTTGAAACCGACTACACCTTCTCTGTTTCTATGGTGCTGGTATTCGTTCAGACAACACTTACCCAAATTTCTGCCGCTCTAGCTACCACCGCTTGACTTACATCGACTACAATCCCCACAAATCCCTGCATGGTGACGAGTAACTCGAACATAAGGACCTGAAGACCATCCTCATAGCTCTTAGGATGATTGACAAAAACTGCAAGTGGCGCTACGTTTGCGTCTCGAATTCCGAAGACACAGTCACGCCGTTGCTCATGGATTATACAGGAAGTTATACCGAAATCACTTTACACTGCAGCCAAGCCGGGCCGAACATTCGCCGAGACTTAAACTGTTGTAATTTCCTCCATGCCTCCTCTTCGCCATGATCTTCTGCCGGAGGCACTTCCATGTAGGCCAACGGAGGTGTACAACAGTGACCAGCCCCATATGGTTTTGAGCGAAAGCCGAAGAAAATGAAAAAAAAAAATGTATGAGATAACAGTAGTTTTTGAATTAAAAATTATTCTCGATTTATTTCTGTATTACTAAACTAAATGGTTATATTAACCGTTTATCAAAAATATATATCACTATGTCTAAACTTAAGAGTCAAGTGAGTGGTATAGTATGAATAAGTACAGAGAGAAACAAAATTTATATTAAAATATAACTTAGTTGAAAATAAGAAACTATAGGTACAAAAAAAATACACAATTTGAATATTGGACAAAAATATGTTAGTTCTACTGTTATTTGACAGGTACAGATGGAGATGATTGCTTGTGGCAGGTTAGGTTAGGCTACGAGGACTGTTTAGCTAGGGAAAAAAGCTTGGAAAGTGTGCTATATTTAATGTATTTTGTAAAAAAATGATATGGCCCTCTCACACGAGTCATAGGTACATAATAATTTTTGTCACGACTCTGCCAGATTTAATAAAGCCTCAGCCGAAATCATGGGGATATACATATGAAGAACTATTCTTGCCGTTCTCGATATATTGTTTCATTGAACAGTATGGTAGTAACCACCTACCATGTAATATTTGGCAGATTAGACAATATGTTTCGATACGTACACAATACACATATTTCAATAATCTGCATTACAATAACCATTCCAACCACTGGTCCGATATCCCCGACCGATAATTTTAGCTTTTTCAGCAGCCATATAGCGGGATTTCCACTTAAACAACAGCTGAAAGCTGAATCTTAAAATAAATAATTTTTTATTAATTTATAATTATAATGGTATTAAATATCTACTGATTAATGCAATAAAATTAATTTAGAAAAAGCAGGTAAGTGGATGTGCTCTGCTGTACATTAGGTGTCTAGAAGGTCGCCGTAATGGAAGGTATTAAATTGAAATTCAATGACATAATTTCATTGTATACGAAAAACAATTCTGAGTGGAGAGGGTATGTCAGTCTTGGATATTTTATTTTGTTATTACTAAATAATCTGTGATGCTTAAAAAATATTACATTTACTTATGCAAAATTGGTCTGTTTTGGAACCGAATTACAACCAAAATGACTAAAATCTCAATTATTTGTGTTCATATGTACTTTCCAGTAGACATTTTTTGTTTCATCAAGGTAGACAAGCTTATAAGGAATCTTGTGTTAAATTTTTAAATCTTAAGTATAAAAAGAAAAATGTTCATCAATTTCTTACTCAAATAAATTCATTACTTTTCGTAAATTTTACGTATTTTGTCATAATTTGAAATTCGGACGCTCATAAAAAATATTGTAGACTTACACTCAACTTTTTTTTACATTTCCACTAACAACAACTTACAAGGAACCTTTTATTACATTTACAAGTTTTTTGACCTAGCGAACAATTTTTATCGACATTTGCTTAAAAAAAACAAATAACCATATAATATTTCATAAGTCTATAAATAGTTCAACAGACATTTTATGGAGTATAGAAAATGCTAACACAAACATTCAGTGGATCTACGACCATTTTTGTCAGAGTTACACCAAAAATCAAAAAAGATTTTTTTGAAAACTTGTTTTCTGTAAAAAATTCCCGTTTAACCTTAATTTTTTGTTTTGTTTTCCTGTCGCTTTTGAAAACTATTAGGAATTTTAGATGTTGACCTGCCAAATGCACCAACGAGATACACTTTCCTACCAGAAAAGTTGATGTCGAAGAAAATCGAAGTACTTTTATTACTTCAAACCGAGATGACAAACAAAAAAAAACCACAAAAAAACGCATCATTGTAAAATCAATACATTCATTACTCCTCTCAGAATCTAAAACGAAAAATGATAGTCATGTTATGTTGAATAAGAGCAAATACATTCAAAGAAATTGTGGAACAAATTATTCTGGTAACCTTAACTGTATACCTAATGTACGTACCTATATGAACTAGGTACACATATGTCAGTTTAAACTTTAAAATACGAGTATAAATGAAAATAAAATTTAACAAAAATGTTTTGTCAAATTATTTTAATATAATACTAAATGACAGATATCTCTATTAATACATTAGGCACCAGATGGCAAATGAAATTATCTTAACAATAATAATTGCTAAATTATTATACCGAAATGTTATGATTGTTCTTCGGTGTATTGTGTTCGATTTCACAATTAAACATAATTTAACAAACACTTGATGACTGTTGTACATTTATTAATTTTTTTTTAAAATTTAAATTCTCTTAACAGTAAAACAAAATGTGCTATAGTTTTTGGAGAACGCAAGACATTCAGTACAAAATAACAAAAAATTAAAATACACTATTTCTTATCACCGAAAATATTTTATTATTCAGGTGAATCAATTGAACTTGGTACTTATTATTCTGTGACTTAATAAACATGTAAAATACAATTTATCACACCTGCATAGAAGTTAAATTTGTGATGTCAATTGAAGGCAGAGTTTTTTTTCCAGCTGGCAGTAAATTTGCCTAAAGTCTACATCAAATAAATATACATACTTGAACGTATATCAGCTCGTTTTGCCTATTATGACAAATACTATCTGAAATATTAACGGACGTAAATAAAAATATGGCTCTGTCATTCCCTCTTACATGTTACGTGTAGTTCGAATATTTCATCAGAATGAACATTTTTGTAGGATTTGCTACGATCTGTTGCAATTTGGTTGATCTAATATTTCTGAAAAATACTACATCCACGAGACCCTTAAGAGGGGTGGAAACTATGTCCTCAGGCAATAAAAGTGTTAAGTTTATCATTATTCATTATTAAATTATAAGGACAACAGATTTTTTATATTATTGATCTTAGTTTTGTGTAATATGTTCATGAAAGTACAAATAATAAAAATGTACACTTTGCAGTAGGCAAATTATTTAATCTTAAATATATATATGCATATTTTTTAACCTTGTTATAATATAATATATAATAAACGTAGACAGAATAACCAATACATTATTATCGTTACTTGAGACTAGTAACTTTATTATTTTAGTTCCTCTAATAAAATCTAATGGAACACTATCCGAATATGTGATCAAAAGTTAGTATCTAATAGTGGATATCTTATAAACTAGAATTTATAATCAACTAACACTTATTGTTATTAATAACACCTAATGGCTACTACTTAATACTTAATTGCTAATGTTACCAACAAATTAACCATAGATGTACTACCAGATGAATTCTACCATGCTTTTCAATGAAACAGTAAGTTGAAATAGTTGAATCCAGATATAAAAAACGGTAATAAAAGTTCAGTATGGATTACCATAATATTGACAGAGGCATACTGACTTCTGCAGTGGCTTTTCACTTCCTGCCATTCCCACATAATATTCTAGTCCTCAATATTAAATAAATAATAAAACAAAATATACTTGAGTTTAATTTTACACTATTTTCTAGACAAAACCTTTTACTTTGTTATTTATTAGGTAGTTCAAATTAGCACTCATGATGCACAAACTCGTTAACAATAATATCATTTACTATTTAAGTATAAGCTAGACAGTTTAATTATTATATTGACTTTGAGATGTACAATCAGTACAAAAAAATATAAAAATATAAAATTTACAATTCACAATAAGTAAATTACGTAGCCATATAAATTATGTAAATTATATTAACCACATTATATAGAATATTTTATGCAAAAAAAAAATGATCAGAGTATGTTGTATGTGATCAATAACTACTAAGAAATTATTCAACAAATTAGTTTAGCATCCCTAACCTTAACCCAAATTTGCAACTATGAATTAGGTATACGCAGGTTATAATCTATAGAAAAAGCAGATTGAACAAAAATGCTGAACTATTTTAATATAACACTAGATAAGAGATATTCATCGACATATTGTATCACAAGATGCCAATATAATTACTTTATTATTATAACGACTAATTACAATTCGTTAGCGTTTTGTGTTCGATTTTAGAATTTCATAGAATTTACCAAACACTTAATGACTAACGTAGGTACAAGCTTTTGGTATTTTTAAATATTTAAACCTTTTATGCATATTCAAATTGGATAGGAACAATACTAATCTACATTATATTTAGAATTTATTACACATGTCATACATATATCATTATATAAAAGCAGTTGTCAACCATCAGTGCATAGTGAAACAAATTGTGTTGCGAACATTAAACGGTAAAACTGCAGAGAATTTTTAAACCGGTGAACATGAAGCTATATACTATAAATCCATTTTACACGTCTCTGTTTTCAGTGATTATTTTTGCGGCATTAACCTCGTAAGTTATAAATCAGTTTTAAATTGCATGTAATTTGATACAATTTAATTTCAGTTCATTCTCAATTTTTTCCGAAAATGGTCACACATATATAAATTCAAAATATGAAGTCGTTTATGGAGGAAAAAAAGTTTTAAGTAAATATCAATTAGAATATAACATCGTATATTCTACCCATCTTAAAATAATTTAGAATTGAGATGAAAAAACTCAGCTATTTTATTCTGTGCCTTAATAGAGGGTATAATATTTTTGTCATGCCTTTAACGAAAGTTTAATTGTTGATGTTAGTTGAAGTGTTTGAAAATAATGATATAAAATAAATAAAAAAGGTTTTTTTTTCGTACAACAGCCTGAAAATTACCTTACTGTCTGTATCACATTAAGATACATGTACGTATCGACATGTTCCGTCTAACATTTCAAATTTTAATTGGAAGATGAGTTATACATATTATACTGTTGAAACAGTTAAGTAAATTTAGATACCGACAGTGGCAAGAGCAGCTCATTATGGATTACTATAATATTGATGAAGCTATTTTCTGTGGTGGAAGATGTGACGAAAATAATCGTTTGAAATCTTTGGATCTTCGAGATATTCAGGAAATGTGGCCATATTTTCTTGGGATGGCTTTTAGCGCCAAAGTGTTAGGTTTTGTTTGAATGATTATATTTTTTCACAAATGTCAACCATGTTCTTAATTTCTCTTATTTCTCAATATTCTTAACTAATTTAAACGTCTAACTATATCACTTGAAAAAGCCAATTTAGCAACTCACGAATCATCACTGAATTTATCTGCTAATTAAAGTTTTTTTTCCATTGGCAAAATATGTATTTCTGTAGAGTCTATAGAGAGAACGAAAACAACAAATTATTATAATTTTTGTTAATGTATATTTACCTATTGCTAATTTTTAATCGTAATAAATATTAAAATTTATATGATATCTACAATATAATGTGCTTTGATTGGGTTCATTTTTCCAAGGGACTCAGTTAAAACTGAAAAATTAAATTAAAAGTTAAATTGAATTCATGAAATTATTTCAAACACATAATGATTATTAGATTGCAGATTGCAATACGGATACTTATTTTTAATTTCTCAAATCCAGTATAAGCTAGTATGTGCGAAATCATGAACCTATATATATATACACATGTATATTTTATTATTTAACTATATTATATGTGTAGGATTTTAACTCTCCAACACGAATTATGTATGTTATATCTTATTTATTAATTATGTTTTTTGAATGATTTATTATTTCAGGAGTAGATGGATTTGAAGTTCCTGGATTGAAAAGCTATAGGAAATTACGAGCTGGTGAGAGATTAAAATTACAAGAGTTAAAGAAAATAAGAGATATACAGAGAGAAAAGGAGAGAAAAGAGTGGTATGAAGCAAGAGAAAAGGAACGGATGTTACGTGAGGCTGAGAGGGAGAAGGAACGGGTGCAACGTGAAATGGATCGACAAAAGCGTGAGGCTGATAGATTGAAAGAACAGGAGCAACGTGAAAAAGATAGACAAATACGTGAGGTGGCACGGGAAATGGAACGACAACAACGTGCAGAACAAAGGGAAATAGAGCGAAGACAGCGTGAGGAAGAAAGAGAACGAGATCAGAGGAGACGTGATGCCGAAAGGGCACAACGTGAAGCGGAAAGAGAAAAAGAGCGAAGACAGCGTGATTTCGAAAGACAAAAGGAGCTACGAAAACGCGAAGAAGAAAGACAAATTTATCAACGACAACGTGAAATGGAGCAAAGACGACGCTATTATTAAGAAAGAAAAATATTAACAAAAAAAAAAAAATTAAATTATTACAGGTATAAGCTTAAATACATTTCCGAGTAGTGACTAAACAAAATTCATATTAAAATTATTTATTTTTATTTTAGTTTGATCAATGATCATGATGTAGTTTAGTTCCATTTTTATAACTGCGTTATGTCGGTTACTTCATTAATTATTAATACAATACTCTAATCCATAATCACTTATGGCATAATGATTAAACGTTTAAAATAATTGCCATTTAGTATTATACATTTACAGTATAATTATTATTTTCCATTAAACGGTATATTTAATCTAAATTCTAATATATATTTGGTGTAAAACTGTAAATGATCTACACATTATAATATTTATAATAATTTGTATTACATTATATCTTATGGTTATTTCTTATGCTACCTAAATTCCTTTATGAATAAATGAAATCGACAACGGCCTTATAGTATCAAAATACAAGACAACACACCTAATTATTTTGCTCCTATCACTTATATGCTTTGGTATATGCGATAAACAGTGATCATTCTTGTCCACGGTTGATTTCGAAAGTTTCATCTTTAAGTCATTTCCGTCCATACTTGTTTCCAAGCTTCATCATAGTGGATAAATTGGATTAAAGCATTGAATTTCTTCGGTCAAACGGGTACTCGTTGATATCAGGTAAGTCTACGGACTAAGGTATAATGGACTGGAAACGAAGCTATAAAGGAAAAATATTACGAAACTATTGATCTACTACTAGGTACATAATATACAGATATTGAAAATCATTCAAAAATAGGGAACATGTGCATAGCTGGTGGTGGTCAATACATTAATATAATATAGATATATTGCTATGTCTGATAATTGATGGTTTAGGATTTAGTAAGAATTTATAGACAAATTAAAATAAATTAAACCATTTCCTCTTTTTAAATCTTCATTTGTTACATACTTTTTTAAAACGAAATACTAAATAATCACTTAAAAATTATAATCATGATAATATTGTTCCATTTCTTGGTGGGGCGCAATTGTACACTCAATCTGCGGCAACGCTCTGAGCATACGTACCGGCCATCGTTGCTGACACTCGGATGGGTGATCATCCGGGTTTTTAGCAACACATCTTTGCCACACATACAAACGTGTTTCAACCAACCGTCCCCCCCACATAGTACCAGGCTAATGACTTTAGTAGTTGAAGTCTTAAGGTCCCCACACACTGCAGCGATAGCGGCACAGCCAAGACAAAAGAATTTTACCTCTACCGCTGCAGTGTGTTTGGACCTTTAAATCCAAAAAAATAAAAAAATATTATACCATAAATTATAATAATTGAATTGAATTGGTTAATTGGTACTTCTTTGAGTTCAGGGCAAATTAAAATAAAAAGAAGATTTCTGAGTTAGAGGTGTTGAGTCTTATAATCGAATTTTTTATAATGTATTTGGATACGTCTGGACCGTTTCAGACGATTTTGAGTCTAATAAGCGACTGATTACGTATTATATCCGCGAGTATTATAAGCGGCGTCCACAGTGCTTAATAATATTACAATATTGTGTGCTAAGAATTTAAAATTGTATTAATATTTTGGTAGTAACTATAATTTTGTAGGCATTTAATAGTTATTTAACATTTACTTTTAAACTTGTCCATGCTAAGGAAAAAAATCAAGATAATTTTTATATAATATTACATAATATGCTGATATTGAAAAATCATTCAAAAATTGGGTCTATTCAAATAGTTTGGGGAAAGTATTTTTTTCAATTTATCTTTTGCTTTAGTTTTAAAATTGACCTGGTTCAAAGGTCCCAATCAAGGTTAATCTTAGAGGTAGTAAAATAAATTGTTTAACAATATCTTCAACATTATCACTCGCAAACAACAGTAATAACAATATGGTTTTTTTAAAAATTAATTTACCTATTAATAGTTATGAAATATTAAAGTAATAAAAAAAAAGTAAAGAGATTTAAAATATTTAATTTACTCAACTTTTTTTTGATTTGAATACAAACATTTGTTGTTGTTATAGATATTTAATTAGCAAATTAAAAATTAGCATTAAGTATTATACATATTCACTATAATTATTATTTTACATTATACAGTATATTTACTCTTATATGTTTGGTGTAAAACTGTAAATGATTTACACATTACAATATTCAAAATGATTTGTTTTACTTTATATCTTATGATTATTTTTTATATTACCTAAATTTCTTTACGAATAAATGAATAACGACATTAGTCTCAATAAGAAATGATTTCCCTTTGCTGTACATGTAAAAACGATATAACTACTGATAATTCTGGACCCCTTTATATATGCAGTTTGGAAACCTTTCTCTAATGTTCATTTTCCGAGAGTGGTGGTTAAGTCTTATTACTTTTAATCACCACGTCTTAAAGACCACTCTTTCAACATACCAGTCAGCTGTTTTTCTCCAGTAACTTCAACGCTAGGTATCATCATTCATTATATGGAAATTACTTGTATCTTTCTTTGGGTTTAGCTTGTTGTAAGTTTCGTTTACTATTTTTAAGGAGTCATAAGGATAAGGAATAACGTTACAATTGTAACGTTACGTATATTTGGTTGTGGTTCAATTCATTTATACTCATATTAAACAACTAAATAATTTATCTATCGAATCTAGATTTACCATTACGGTGACGCAGCAGTATAATTCTTGATATCAGATTTACTACGTTGTTTCCTCGGTATTAGTACCCCAACATCTATTTCCACTTTTATACAATTTAAAGTTTAAACCCATATTCAAAAACAACATCTTTATTAATGTTAGTAAAAAAAAAGTTTTTGTTTTAAATTGCACACTAGAAATTGTCTCGCTATATGGTTCACATTGACTACTAGATAATTATTTTCACTTATTTATTGGGCCGTGATAAATTGACTGTGAACTATCGACAAATATTATGTATATCAATGTTAACCTACAGCTTATGATTAAATACAAAAATGTAGATTTTAAAAATAAGTTTACAATTTAGTATTACATTTAAATACTTCTATTTTCTTAACTCAATATGGTACCTAAATACTATAAATAGTTTATGAACAATGTTGTAATATAATATACTTATTATCAGACTCAGATATAGGTAGGTATAACATTTTAGCACATAAAGCACATTCGAGATAAGATTTCAAGTACAGATGATGGGATAAAGATGTCGAATAATTATATTGTGCGATTGCATTTAATCTGTTATGAAGATTAACATCATATTTGTTATAATACATAATATAACTCCAGAAATTTTTTACAATATGCATAAAAATAAGTCTATGGTATGCAGTATTACTTTTTCTTTCATTATTCAAGGTAGTGTGACTTCCAAAATCAACACATAATATTCAACATTATGTTAAATATAATACTAAATAATATTTCAATATTATATACTAAGAATATCAAATTGTATTACGGTTTTCACCAATTGTAAGACTAATGAGATACATTTTTTGTTGAGATATTTTTTAAACTAACCTTTTTAGTAATAATAATTATGTAGACATTTAATAGTTATTTAACATCTACTTTTTTTAATATATTTTTTTTTTGATTCATATATTTTCAAGTGATAAAACAGGAAAAACAATTTAGACAATAGTTTAAATGTGATTTGATAAATAAATTCGACAAGCAGTGATTAATGAATCGAATTTAAAATCGTTAAGTGCCTATGATCTACATGAGTCATGTATTTAACCTGTTGACTCGTTTATATAATTTCATAAACTTAAACCTTAACACTGCTGAGCCTTCGATGATTTGAAACTTTTATACCTACGTAATATACGCATGTTCAGTATTTTTTTTTGTCTTTTATTTTTTCATTTGTACAATAATGTGTTTTGATCCATTATATTTTAAATCCAATATAAATTAGTCCATTTTTAAAAAAAAATTTAAGTCTCCTAATTTCTGGTAATTCAATAAATAATTTCGACTTTTTCCATGACAATTTAACCAGGTTGAAATATAATATAGTATAAATACTAGGTAATAATATGTCAAAACTAAATAGATTAATATTAAGTTAATTTGCTTATTTTATTATGTTTTGTTTTTGTTATAAATGTAAAAAAAATACTGTTCTGAGCCCAACTGCGGGCGTATACAATTAAATAAATCAATAAATAAATAACACTAATTATGTAAATGGTAAAATTTAGCATATTAAGGCCCCTGCAAAGTGTGAACCATATGACATTTTCATCAAAAAGACTTAGAGAAAAATTGAGGTATCTCTAGGGGTTAGATTTAAAAAATGTAAAGATTTTTGATTTGATAAAGAACTTTTTATCGATCCGAGCATATTAGATTCAATAATTTTAATAGTTTAGTATAAACAATTGATGAATTTTAAAATGTTTATGCCGTCAAGAAATAAATTGATCATTAATTCCCTAAAATTGAAAAAAATTCTCTGACTGGTGAAAAGTAGTCTTGTTTATGAATTTAAACATATTTAAATTTTTTAAACCTTTTTAAGTGCTTAAATTGTTGTCAGGCATTTTAGACTTGTCAGACTGTTTTTGAAAATTTTGATCTAATGACAAAATGACAATATGTGCATATGGGTGCCTAATAATTTGCATGATGTGGGTGATTGGTGTTGAGTATTATACATTGATGATCATTTATTACACACACACACATGACAGAGCAGTGACTTCGGGAAATGAAAAAATTTCCTGAACACAACTCCTTAAAGATAACACATTTGTAGGGGCCTTAACCAGCATAATAATTTGGATTATTGTCTAGTTTTAAATGTTAATATCATACAACATTAAAATATGACATTCCAAGCGTCAGAATCTATTAATAATTCACACCCGGTTAATAAGCTAACCGACGTCGGTAAACAATTGTATACTGTAGGTAGGTACTTAAACAGTTATAGGTTATCAACAATGACAATATGTTGCACTGCGAAAGGTTAGGTTAGTTAAGGTTAGGTTATATGTGCCCTAGCGCATTCGTGTTCATAATATTTTAGAAATCAAGGTAAACAAGAGA